ACGCCAACGCGCGCACGCTCACTCGCAAGGACGCCGCAGCGCTCCAGGGCGGATCCCCAGCAGCCGCAGCCAGGCTGGCAGGGTCCCTCTGCCAGGGTTTCTCCTGTGCGCCCTGGGCATCATTAGGCGCTGGCGTTGCTGCGAGCTGCTGCAGCGTGGGCAGCACCCTGCTTCCTTTCTTTTCCTTGTTTTCTTACCCCCCGCAAAGTTTCTTCTGCACAGATTGAGGGAGTGGTTTTGTCACAGAACTTTAGTGCGTTTGACGCTGGTCCCAGGCGATGATCACCTACTTGTTCAGAGACTATTGGTTCCTGCTTATTTTCTCCGCAGGTCTCACAGCCACAGTCTGGAGCCACTCTAGCGAGAGGCTTGGGGAGGTCGTGGGAGGGAACAGTCACACCTGCTGCCCAGAAAGGCCTCTGCATAAAAATGCTCTTTAAATGTTAGAAAAGCCACATAATGGCTGATGGCCTTACCAAAGCGTGACCTGCCCAGGCCTACTAGTTAACGTCCCGGGCCGTGCCTGCTCTCAGATATTAGGACACACTTCAAGGATGTGGTTGTCAGATGTCATTAGCTAAGTCGTGCTCACTAGCCAGTTGATTCAGAAGGAGAGGGAAATAGCCATGGCGTACAAGTGTAGAATATGTGGTGGTGGTGATGGTGGTGGTGGTATGTCAAATTTTTTCCACTTGAGCAGACAAATGTCCCAAGTGATCTGGGTGAAAACAAGCTGGCATGTGAGCTGTAGGGTACAGAGATGTGGGGACAGGGTGTTCTTTGGGACTGAAGAGAGAATCCTAATACTCTCCCAGGGTGGAAATGCTCCCCAATGGGTCTACTACAGAGAATGGCTTATGTGATCAGGCCCTGCCAGCCTGGAGGTTCAGCCCCCGCCCCATCCAACATCCTAACCCTCAATTACCACCTCAGTGCAGGAAAAGGGCTGATAGCTATTCAGGTGCGCATAATGCAAACTGTTGTAGAATTTCTAAGCAAATGGAATATACAGCAATGGATTTAAAAAAGCCTTGCAAATTGCCCCTCCCTCCCTTTTTTTGCAGGTAATATGTCTGGGAGCTGCGGTGGGATTGGGAGAACCCTAGCCATCTCAAAGAAAACAAGCATAAAACCAACCTAACTTCAACCCTCCTTTAGCTGATCCTCATCAAAGTAATACAGAAACGTTTTGTGACTGAGCTCACTTGGAGTCCAGAGTATCAAGCTTTGACTAGAATGGACTCAGTACAAACTTTATCCCTGATAAATGGTTGTGCCGGGTGACCAGATGAGAGACATGCCTTGGAGAGCAGGCTGTTTTCGGCTGCAACTGCATGCTACACATGAGCTCAGTCTTGAAACTGCAGATCCAGAGTAAACATGAAGTGGGCACAACAAAGCAGTGTTTACCCAAGTGAATTTTCTTTGTCCTGACAGTGCCATGTGTTAAAGCTCTGGTGTTTGTTTTGCCTTTTAAATTTTTTCCTCCCTCCCTCCCTCCCTCCCTCCCTCCCTCCCTCCCTCCCTCCTTCCCTCTCTGCCTCCCCCTCCCTTCCATCCTTTCCTTTTTTTTATTTATTCTTTTTGAGTTTTTGAGACAAGGTTTTTCTCTGTTTAGCCTTGATTGTCCTGAAACTCACTCTGTACACTAGGCTGGCCTGGAACTCAGAGGGATCCACCTGCCTCTGCCTACTTCGTGTTTAAATTTCTTACACTTTAACTCTCTTCCTTTCTGGATAGAATTCTTGGGGCTATGGATTCCTAAAGACAGGGAACTTTGAAGGTTGGAAGGAGATACAAGACTGGCTTTGCTGGTAGTTCCCCCCCCCCCCAATACTTTCACTGTTCTTAGGGATGCAGGATAAGGAGCCACAGGTATGAGCCCATCCAACAAAAATGGGCCCACTGGGTGAGTCATGGACTTTTCTGGTCTATCTAAATATTCTTTTCATTTTCAATGATAGGAGCCAGTCAAGACAATGGGGCTACATGATCCAAAGAAGGATCAAACTGATCAGGGTCCTTGTGACCTTGTGACCTTCCTTGAATTCTCAATACTGAACATCTGTGTTCGGTGGCCAGTGTCTGAAAGTAATAAAGACAATTAGAGCATTTTATTTTTTCTTGGAAGGGGGTTGGGTGCTAGTGCAGAGGTTAAACGCCTGTGGATGCCACTGCTTTGCAGTCTGAATCTCGAGGAGCATCACCGACTGAGCCTTCCCCTTCACAGCCCCAGGAATGGAATGAAGGGAGTTATGTGCTGAAACTACAAGCTGCTCCTTTCCTTGTTTTTATTAGTTGGTGGATTATTTATTTATTTTAAACAACATTTATTTGTCACTTTTACACCAGGGAAGGAAGACAACATCTACCCCTTCCCTGGTTGGTTCTTCCAACTTCTACTTGTGAGGGCTGCTCAATCAACATTCAACAACTTTGTGATATACACATCTTTTTCTTCTCTGTCAACACAAACCCACACCAAACCAGTGCTAACTACCTGGACAATATATAAGCATCCACTACATGCTAATGGATTTATTGAAATGTATTTGACTCTTCAGAATGTAAAACTAAAAAGTCCACTAATCTTGAACCAACTGAAAAGGGTCAGAGATCTGAAAGAATAAGATATTCCAGAGATAACCAATTAGAGAAATTTATGTCCAAAACAAATGTTGAGAGTGAAAAAGCCCTACATTTTCTCAGTACATGTTGTCCTTACAGCACTCAGCTGTGATCTTTTGATGATTCAAAGCTTGTTTCTTGTAAAGGGCACAAGTCTGATCTTCATGGAGCCAAGATGCTTTGTTAGACAAGCTTGCCACTGCTTAATAGTTCAAAACTTATGGGTGCAGCTGAGACTTATCTCTGTGCTTAAAAATCTCTAGACTCTCAGTTGCAATGAGACATCTTTCCTAATGAAGGAGATTTGGAAAAGCCAACTTAATTTGTGAAGTGGCTGTGTCCAAGAAGCAAAGCGTGGCACTTTTTGAGCATTGAGTTTTCCTATCACCTGCATCTTGGATGGCTGCTCTGCGTGTCTGCACTCCAGTGTGTACACAAAAACAAGAATTTGCAGTTGAATAGTTGAATGGTTCTACTTCTAATCACATATGTGCATAGGCACACAAAGAAGGCTGTTTTCACTCATCATTTCCTCTTGATGTTAAACATGTGTTGGGAATTTTGGACTTCTGGCTTCCCCAGATCATATTTGTGACTTTGTTCTTGCACACGAAGTTTAGAAGCCTACAAGGTGATAACTAGGTTATTCTTCCTCTTCCCTCCCCCATCCCCGTTAATAACTCTGTCCT